GAAGTTTGAGTTCAAACACACGACAGATTTACACCTAGATGTAAGAGAATGCTAATTTTTTAGTACTCAGAATGCTTTGCATCGACTGAATTTAAATTAAGTCTCGTGACGGTTTTAGCATCTTTAGTGAATTTATTTCTAGATCTTGTGTATCGGTAAGAAATTATCATAAGATTAAGAAGCTTCATGAAACTTTTACTTGTGAGGGTCGATGGGTTATATAATTTGTAGTAATTTAGGAACTGAACTCAGCTTTTGATTTGCCTCAGTATGTCAGTATGGTGATCTTTACCTTTGTGCTCTTATTTTCAACTTAATCTTGTATCATAAAGCGTCAAACTGACTCGAATTTGATCCTAAAAACGTTTGTGCTGGCCCCTTGTCAAATTTAATGCATGACGTTTAAAGGAGTCGTATACCGTAGCAAAATGCACCACCCAGAAATGCTGTTAAAACTTTGATTCAAGCGATAACCACTAAGGGGTAGTCGCTGCATCCTGTCAGACAAGGAAAATTCTTATTCTCGATTATGAAGATCAAATGTCACTCATTAATAATTGGATTAAAATTAACCTGTCAGGAGAATTCAGTCCAGTCTTATGAGAATATTGAAAAAGCTTGTCCATACGTGTATCGGCTGCAAAATTCATGCAAGCTGCTACTCATGCGTATATTGATGAGCCACGAGTTAACAGATAACAATAATCTTGAAGGATCACCAGCATGTTTTCACTTCGCTGTCTAACTCGCTGGGAAATGGTTGTTATGCTTTTGTATTGAAGCTGTCTTGAAGCTCGCGATCCTAATGCTTGATATCTCTATAAAACCCACTACTACTTAGCCGTATCTACTACCTTTAAGACATACCACTTCATCTCTGGAAGATTATGCGCACTTTCTGTGTGCTTGTATATGGCGGACTGTAAACAAAGATATTCAGAATGGATTGGCGATATTCTGGCGAACAAACAACACATAGGCCCGACAACTATTTTCTACACGCAAATCGATGTAAGTGGGCGTGTGCGAGCAAATCGAACCTTGGTTTTCCGAAGAATAATCAAAACTAGTCAGTCAGGCATAGAACGGCGTGATCTTATACCACACTTGAGAGCGGGAAATGGGAAAGGGGGAGAGCGATATGAAAAGGGAGATAGAAAGGAGGGGTAGATGGAAAGAAATGAAGGGATAAGGAGGAGAATCCTGTCTCATTTTCGCCCCCATTTTTGACCATCCGCATTCCTTTAATGATGATTATGGCCAACTTTTGGCAATAACATAAGACAACTACATGATCACACAGAAAAGAAGAGGCAGCTGAGAGGGGTGGGGCGATAAAGGGTACAAGGAAAGATCGGGGTTGACCATTTAATAGACTTTTGCAGAGAGAGTCCCATGCATGGTGTAACAATTAGGAATTCACAGGTCCGTGTGTAGTTGGGAAAGACCGAGAGTGTGGATCGCAGCGTTAGTTGTGTGAATGAATAAATATTTGAAGAAGATTTCTTCTCTTGTTTAGTTTTAAGACACCGAGGTAAAAGTGGGTAACATCTTATAAACAAACTGAATATAAACGCACACATCGGACACTTAAACTGCGGCACTCTTAATGATAACACTGTAAAGAATGACACAGCAGGCTGTACCGCGTTTAGCGTTGGTGCTAGACTTTATTGTTACTGATTCCCGAACCGCGCTTTTTATCGCGGTAATAATTTGGCAATTATCATTAGTCTCATAAAATCCCTTCCACCAATATGCAAACTATCACACAAATGTGATACGAAGCTTTCATGGAAACTCAATTAATCGCCATTGGAATTCTCATATCTTTGTGTTTTAATTTTACAAAACTACTGTTTGAATTGTGACCAAATATTGGTATCTTAGAGGGCAAATAAAATACAGTAGATGAGACTGTTTAAATAAATGTTCTCAAAAACCATTACATAAAGCATTTCACGGAATTGTATCGATAAGTTAGAAGACTACACATCCATTAGTATACAACTTAATAAGAGTGACATTTTAGTTGTTCTTCTTTATACCTCGACTAAATGACTAAATTTGACACCGAGGCCACATCGATTCGCCTAAAAGTGTATTGACACCCCGATACACAGGAGACAATGCTTCCTAATTAAAAGTACGGTGCATCAGGCTACCTGAACATCTTTGGAGGAAAGCAACGCCACATTGATCGCTCGTAAAGTAGGTTATAGATCGGATTAACGAAATAAAATAAAATAAAAATATAATGATGAATTCAACATTAACCAAATACTTATCATAAATAAGGGACACCTAAAATTTTTACATTTAAATGTAAAGTAATTTAAGAAGTTTTGGGTTGTACTATCAGTTTTTAATTGTTAAAGTGACAAGTTACCCGCGTCATTTTGTGGTTTTAAGTGTGAACATCATGAAATCAGCTCTAATTTGACCATTCATATCCGTGTGGAGGAGATGGCAAATTTAAAGAAATTTCTACAATAAAATATCTTTTTATATACTTTGCTGATAAATGATTGGCATGCACGCGAACAGACTTTGCAGAGAAAGAAAACTGCAGCTAACGACTCTAAGTCAAATTTTGTAATGAAAAATAGCACTACCACAGTGGCAGTACAAATGATTGATTACAAAACGTAGCAATGAAGCAAATACAACAGAAAGTTAAAAAAATTAAATTCAATTAACATCTTACTTTGGTTAAAAAGGTCGACAACAACCTTTTCATTCTCAAAATCTTAATGTTGAGAAGTTGCCCTTTAGAAGGTGGGCAGACTGATGAAAGGGAAGTCTCCTTAGAAATTTTCCACACAAAATTCACTGTTTGGTGCTTTTAAAGTCTCGTTAAAATGCGCGTGCACTTGTGATTAATTAGCAGACTGCCGTGGCACTGCACGGAATTTGGAATAGTTCCCCGTAGGCAGGATGAAAAATGCTTGCTTTTCGTAATGACTTGGCCCAAAAAATACAGACGCCAAAGCTACAAATTAGAAGGGACGCCCCCCGCACAAACACCGACTCCAGGCAAACTTTGCTCGGGTGGCTAATTTTCCTATGCGGCAAAGCGCCGCGTTCCTGTCTCAAATGGTCACTGGTACTAAAAATCCTTTTATGTGGGGAGAGTGAGATCCATTTCTTGAGACAGAAATTAAGCGTAATTGCGCCGGAATTTGCTATCGGTTATCACTAACTTTGAAAAGGCGTACAACGGCTTTGCTCGTTTCTGTTTAGTTTGCATTGTGTAAAATACCAACTATTTAATTATACATCAACACATTGCTTATCATTCCATTTGATAACCAAAATACCGGTAAGGATTAACCATTTTTGTGACTCAACCATCAAAATAGTTTTCCGGCCTGAGGCTAAGAAGGCTCAAGAGGTTATAGAAGTAAAAAACGATTTTCTGGCTCTTTTACCAATGAGTCAATGTAAAATGTCTTTTCAGCATTCTAGGGTAGAATTTTAAAGAGATCCTTTTCTTAGTAATTACTGATTTAGGTTTACAATATACTAAATCAGTTGCGCGATTTATTAATGAAATTGACATTTGATGAATATCCGGATACACCATTAAAGGACCAAATATTCCTAAAATTCTACAAAAAGACACAAATCAAATCGCAGCAGTAAGCAACTTAGGCCGAGACTGGCGTTTCCGGTATCAATCCGTCACTTAAAGAGCGCCTATCAGTTGTTTATCCACAGAAGAATATAAACCAAGTCGTTTATTGGACTACCAGATTCACGCCACCCTTATAATGCCAGATAATCACATAAAAGTCTTAAATCAAACTACTCAGTAAACCATGAAATCAACTTCTTAAATGGTATTTGAGAAAGGGATGAAAGCTGCAGAGTGGTGTAGGTAAAGCCGATCCATTTGTGTCGCTTTGATATCTTAAAGTTTTACTCCTAGTCTGCGATTATTTTCGCATAAAATTTTAAATAAAATGCAGCGTTTGCCTTTGAACCCATCGTCCGGCGAAGGACCATAACACTAACTTAATTAAGGATTAAAATCCCAAAAAAATTTTGAGACTGACATTTTTAGAAAAAGGATGGGAATAGGGATGAATCCTGCCCATCAGCACTACAAAAATCACTAGTTCTGCATTATTTAAATTGATGGTCGTGAAGGTAACTCTCTTTGACACTAAAACTTAAATCATTTAAACTTTAAATTAACCAATTAGATATTTAAATTTTCACCACATTATGTGGTGGACGAAAATCACAACTTGACATATTTATGAACAATTCATTTCTTTTACCCACAAAGGACACGCGATCGCATTTTCGAAACCCCATTTGCCAAATCAAGGCATCAAACCTGGCAAAAGCTCTCCCACCTGCCACATGGGACTTATAATAGCTACAACCACCAGCATTAAAAAAACAAATCGTCATCACCATCATCGCTTTAGGCGGTCTTATCGAGACGCTGGCATCTCCAAACTCTCCCCCTTTCGCCCCTTTTGGCTATAGTCACAAGACAGTAGCATCGCTATCTGATCAAATCTGACGTTCCGGTTGTGTTGGTGAGACGAGATCTTTCTCAGTTTTTGAGAAATAATGAAGAATTAAAAAAAAATAACGCAAAACCATTAGAAATGGTGTTTAATTCATGGGTGGCCAAAATCGTATAGATCTTACTTGCAGTTAAGCTATAATTTAAACATGCGAAACAGAGAGCTGGTTATTAACCGATTGTTTTAAACTTCAATAAAAGGGCATAACCATGTCCACCACTAAAATCAAAGACGGAACTTCGATCATGCAAAAAAGCATTCACGTAAATCGTGGAAGTTGATTTGTCAATAGGCGATAAAGCTTTTATGAATATTTTACGTTCAACTGCGCTTTGAACAAGCAGATTATTAAATGTTTGAATCTGAGGCGAAGGAAGCTTGCAGTGATCCCCTTTAAGCAAAACTGTCCTTCTTCAAGGAGAGTGATTGGTAGTCATTGTTGCCAATACGTCACGTATGCGAGGTTTTCTGGTCTCAAATAAAATTAAGTCTTTGATGAAAATTTATAAAGTGTACGTGTAATTGACTGGATCAACTATGGTGGAATCCTTAAATCCCTGTCTGCAACCTAAGTGAATAATTTAACCACTTTTTTGGGAATGCGAAAAGAAAAAACTTTTAGGGAAGTTCTCTTAATTAAAATCACGCATTCGTGAAACTGGACCACTTTTTTGGCCACCCACTGTGTTGAGGGTCAGATGGAATGCCATTGCCTAAGAGGGCGATTATACACCCCAAGTATGATTTTAAGCGTGAATCATGGGGCTATTAATCACTACACCTTTAAGCTAAAGAGCAATGCAATTTAAATTAAATCTTTAAAGCGAACGTGGCAACAGTATAATTGTAGAGTATTTTAGCAGATTAAAATATTTGATGGATTTATTTGATAATAATGCAAATGTTATAACCGAAGGAGACGTAGTCAGAATATTTATTAATAAATTAAAAGGGAATCAAGCCCATATAAATAATATGACAAATGAAACTCGCATATATGATAGGTAATTCCTTTTAAAATAAAGGGCTTATCAAATAAGGCATCAGTGAGATCCACGGTTGATTTTAAAATTGACAGAAGATGAAGTAATAGTGAGTAAGAGCATTGCTGAATTTGAAACTTAAAATCTGCCACTGATTTGCTAAAGCAAGTCATCCTACTAAATGCTCTGATCCTCACCTCTGTAAGACAATAGTGAGATGGTGAGCGAATCACAACTTCATGATGACGCTTTAAGAGGATCAGAAGCGAGAAGGGAATGTGACGTATCTGCATTGAGAAGATAATTAGTGTGTGAATTAACTTCATTTCCCGTTGTACAAACCGCACCCAAAAACCCCATTGGGAAGGTGGGGTACGCAGATTGGCAACTTAGTGTTGAAGCGGGTGTGAAATGAGTCAGTGGAGGTGGGAGCAGCACCCACTGTTGATGAGTCATGTTGCAAGAGGGCCACTACTTTGAGTTGGGCTGGGGCGGTGGTGCAGCAATTACCGGAGTAATTAAAGCACATTGACTCATGTAGGCAAAGCCGTACTTCTGAGGTGGCCAATTCACTACCTCCAACATTGATGTTGCCGATGGATACTTTAAAATGCGCAATTCAGCGTGATGCTAAGGCAGCACTGATTTAGAACAGAATTTAGCAGACCTACTAAAGCAAAGCAAAGTGCAAAAAAATAAAAGACACGTTTTTTACTCTGCACTATTGTGTCTCCTACCACCATTGTTTTCATGTTACACGAAAAAAACTGGAAAGTGTGGTATTTTTTTAGTTAAACCAGGAAGGCTATTACCTCGCTTTTGGATGATTGTTGTCGTCCTTGCAGGACTTGCCTAATTCTTTCTAAGGAAGGAAGTTGTAGAGAGGAGTATGTGTTTCTTTTCTCAGGCATAGGACTTTAGTTCAGGTGGTACTTTTTAACTATCCTTAGTAAATTAATTCGGTTCATTAAACCCATTGTTTTTCCACGGACATACTTTGAAAAGCAGAAAATTGCCACCGGAAACCAGTTTAGCGTACATTTATCATTGATTATTCTTAAAAAAATATCCAAATTACCAAATCGGCGGTAAAATAAAGGAGAGAGATGAAATGGTAATGGGGAGTGAAGAACTTAACCTCGAACGGGACGAAAATCAAGGCGTGGAAATTTAAAAAAGTAAATATTTTCTGAAATATTTACTCCTTGAAAAGCGTGAGCTTTGCGTCCTACCCTTGACACGTCACTAACCCAAAACATTTTAACCATTGTGTGGGGAAGAAAAAGTGTCCGGTGGTGCTGAAACTTAACAAAGCGGGTGTACACAAAAACTCTGCAATTGTTATGTCCCAAAAATGAACACTTTTCTCCACCATAGTGCGCCATTAAAGGTAGTGAACCCATCAAAATTTTAATGAGTTCTGACAAAGTATATTTATTACAAAATTGCACCAGAAAGGGAACTGAATATGCTAAAATACTAAAAGTAACTGAGTAATATGCCAAAAATGACAAGGATGCTTTTGTTTGTGAAAATAATTTGCAGCAGCAGTAAAACTTTCATTAACAGAAGATTATGTACTTCAAAAGTGACATATTTTACGATAAACTTTCACACAGTTGCACTGAAAAGGATAGCAGGGTGAAGGCTTCTTGCAAGACAAGGCATTAACTTTGCAACCATTCTATGACATATAAGGCAAAAAATTTACAACAGTGTTCACCAGGAAAGTACCACCTCTTAAGGAATGTGAAATCCCCCGTTCCCCCTACAAATTCAGCACAAGACCGTAGCTTGTTTCATGCAACCACAGCCACAAAAGCAATTTATGCTACCTGTAAAAGAACACATGTTTGTTCTCTGTTACACGATTCCTCGTGTGTCAAAAATTTTGGAAGATTGCTGTATTATTCATCCAGTATTTCTTAGAGGTCCACATTAACGGAATCTAATTTCTGCTAGACCAGAAAACCTATTGTACCATTATTCGATTCAAGTAGAGTCAAAGCTTAATAGAAATTTGCCCTTAAGAAGAGATCACTGATTGCATTTAAAAATAAGTTAATTTCTACATTTCCAGACAAATCCAGACACATAGCGAAAACAAGGTTTTGGAAGGACTTTTATTTTATTACCATGTGAAGCAAAAAACATTAATTCATTTGAATAAATAAAGTCTTAGTCTTAAAATATACACCATTCTTGCACCAAAAAATAAATTACAGTTTATTTTACGAGATATTGGATAAAAAACAACTCACATCAGATGGAACTTAGGATGTGAATACAAAAAAATAACGTGAATAAAGTTTCATTACTTTCATAATAATTGGAACAGGAATTTAAGACAAGCTTTTTAAACAATATCCTTGACAAAAAGATATTTTAGATGACTTTTATCATCCTCTTAAACTGAGTAGGTTTGGTGGCCCTGTTAAGTAACAACCAGTAAAAATGGGGTAGAATAAGTTGGCCTAAACACAGTCAGTGTTTTATAGCCTTTGCGCAAACGGAGAAGGAGAGAGAGAAGGAAATTTGTTGTAAAGAAGAAATATGGTGGTGTTGCGTGACTCGACTCAGTCGGAAATGACGGCAGTCTCTCCAGGAGAATTGCAGCCTCAAGCAGCACCGTGATTGCACGATTTGCAGGCCCCTAGCGTCAACAGAGCTTAAGTGTAAAAAATGTTGCCTTTACGGCGGCCTGTTGGACTGTGCTGACGTTGCTTCCTGCTCCGGACGAAAGTGGTTGCACATTTTGCTTTGTGAATCCCTTAGTCAAAATATACGTTATGTTTTACGTTGTTCTAAATATTTTAACGCATTGCCATTAAATAGGTATATTCACGGAAAAATCTGCTTTACGTCTTTAAACAAGACGTTAAAATTTTCATTATTGTAACCTTCACTAACGGCTGTATATTTTAGGAAAAGGAAAATTATTATATCAAATTCAAAACAATAGGAAAAGTGTACATGGGTATGAGGTAGACGAGGATATTTAAGCACAATATAAAACACAGTTTTTTTCCTGCAGAGAATAATTACAGTCATAATATAGCAGCTACAACAATTTTCTAAAGTAGCAATGAAGCTCTGTGAAGTGATGGCATATTAACGCTAAAGGGGGATTCGAATAAACAGTAGAGTTTTGAGCCAAAAACATAGCTAATTAAAAGTCCATTCACAGCTTGTGCAATATTAAATACTTTAAAATGAATGGGGTTTTGCAGAAATACCCAATAAATAACGGTACTTTTTGCGTCTAAATAGCCAATATAGAAGTATGCAGCCTACCTTACAAATGCCAAGCACAGATGTCCAGTCTTCAATCAAAGCTTAGCATTTCTTGTATCAGTTAGCTCTGATCATTCCTGTGCCTTCTAAGGCAGTGGAATCCTGCCTTTTATTTACAAAAATAATCTGATTGGATCTTAAAGGATCGAAAGGGCAAAGGTGAAATTTGTTTACCTGTAAAAAATGAAAAAGTAAACAAAACAGCAAATTACCACTAAAAGCATAATGAAAGCATAGGATAAGTGAAAGAATATAATTAGAGATTTGTGTAACTACTGGGTAAACCTAAGAGAATCCCATGTAACATTTAATTTGAATGAACTTACCACTGAGTGGAAATGCTTAATTAGATCTGTTGGTAATGTTCAAGCAAGAAACCAAACCTAGAACCCAGAGTTATAAATCATGAAATCCTGGCATTTCTCGAGACCTATGTGGTACGTTCAAAATCATTGGTAGTGGAAACAAGCAACGAGAAACAGATTGAACTGACCTCAAGGTGAGAGAAATCCATTAGCTATGATAAGTCCGCCCTCTCTGATTGAGGGCAGATAAATCTGTGCGGATTTTGTTAGTACTATGGGCCTCCATCGCAGGGTTGGAGGCCACGGTCACTTGCTGATCTTATCACCCGCAATAAAAGTAAAAGTTCAAGTCCTCCAATTAAATCCAGTTGAAGGAGGTCATAAATTCTTACGTCGTTTAACTGGCGTGGCACAAAATGGGCATATTTTAGACAACCGCATCCTATCAGACCAATTTTAAAACTCGTAGCGTACGTCAAAGAGCCTATTTACAGTATTACATTAAATAGGGGTAGTTTTTAACCTAGCTCTTCAAAAAAAGAGCAACATGATTAATCAAGGGATGCAGTTTAACCATAGGGAACAGGCTTTGGCATTTACTAGTTGTGTGTTAATGTCTACCAGCATTGAGAAGGCACAAGGGAGAGAAAAAAAGGGTAATGGAATTATAAAAGACCTTTTAAGGATTAATCAGTTGGGCTGAATATTATTTCCAGCTTCCAGGAAATGGCAAGCTTGATACTTTTAAAGCATGGATGGAAGATATTCAGTATTTTTTGCGTAGTATGTGGTGAAGCAAATATTGCCTACATACATCAATTAATTCAGATGACAAGCCTCATTTAAGTGTCAATCACAAGCCATCATCGACTAAGGCACGCAAAATTTGAATGGATAATGCAGTATAATTTACATTTATTATCCGTTCCGCTGCCTATCAACCAATACTTCGGCGTATCTATCCAATCGTACTGCATGTATTTCATGACTAAATCTCCTTTATTTTATGGTCCATTATTCACCTCCGGTTTGGAAAAAAGAGGTGAAACAAAGAGCATTGATATAAAACCCTGAGTAAAATTTCAGGCCATCAAAGCGGCAAAGACTAGAATGTATTTTTACTAAATATAGAAAAGTAATTCTCTTTTAAGCTTCTATGGAAGAATAGGAGGGATTTTGGGATTTAGAAGACGTATTGTTAAAGAATTTAAAGGTGGAACGCATTTAGGGCAATTCCCAACGTTAGCATAGCAGTTGCTGCAATTTCAAATCGTATAATTCGTACCCAAATGCCACAACTGATGAAAGGTCACGAAGAGAAAAAAAGCAAGTTACATTCTTCTGCACGTTATAAGGGAACTGAATGTGTAAAGGTGACTTGGTGTATATGACTGGTGTAATTTGAAGGCCCGAAAAACGCTCGAACCGAACGTCTTGTTAAACTGTAAGTTTGAGATTTCAGAGAATAAATGCCAGGTGGATTTTGATTGCAGGACAGCCTTTATAACTGAACTGAGTTAAACTGACGCCTGTCAATTAGTACACGATGTCTGTTTTTTTCCACAACCCTATCTTGGCAACATTTGTCCATTAGCAGGTGCCTAAAGGCCTATCAATCACTCGAAGAGTGCTCCTTTTCGCAAAAAGTAACGCAGATTATTGTTTCAAACAAAATGTTAGCAGACTGCTGTCAAAAACATTTGCCACCTATGCACCTATGTATGGCGGAGATAAAATTCAGTACTTGCTGAATAAGAACCGAATTTTTTATCTGTTTCTACAAATTAAGTAGCAGAAAGTGGAAGAACTTACCAAAATTCCACTTTTTATAACTTGTTCTACATATTTTTTTGTTGCCAGCAGCTGAAAAGAATGGCTTCCTGTCGAAGAGAACTGTTTAATATGATAAATTCAGAAAAAAACGAAAACAATGTGCGTCAGGATGGCCACGTGCGTTCTCAAAATGGAATAATTTGTTAAATGAACTCGTTACCAGAGTAACCCGTATGTACAGAGCGATCTTTGCCACTTCTTGATAACCACTTGCGCCTAATTGTGTCACAAATGAGTTGATTAAGTTTAAATTAATAACGAATGAGTAAATGTTCTCAATCTGAAGACAAATACTCCTTTTTAGAGGTACTGGTCATTCAAAGTTTACTCAAATAAGAAAGCATTTGGGCTTTGGTAGACAATCGTCCCCTGAGGCAGATCATGGTTCTAAAAACGTGTTAAAATTAATAAGGCTATTTTAGAAGGCATCGTAAGCATCCCTTCTGTTAAATAGTGATGCCAGAAATCAAACAAAACAAAAGAACTCTTAGGATGAGAAAAAAGGTATAAAAATATCGTATTCAATGGGAATGCATATAAAATCTAGGCCGGGAAATGCAACAGCCCTTGGTTTCAATTTTTGCTAAATTTCGCCTGCCATCAATATCAGTATTACCAACCAAAATAAATTATATGCTATTTTACATATTGACTGATTAAGCATTCCATGAAAACAAAAAACCGAGCCAATTTCTGTGTCAGCGTATAACGAAACATTGATGCAATTTCCGCTTCAATGCACACCAAAGTCACCGTTACAATACCATCAAAACACGCTCTGGTTATTTCATAAACGCCACCAGGCGAGAGAACCACTCAAAGAGTCAGTGAGAACCGAGATGAGTGAAGCCGCTAGTTGGAAATAAGCATCCTTTAGGATGAGCTCTCCTTTGATTTTATCAGCTTCAGACGTGCGTGTGTATTCATTCACAGCGAAATAAATTATTTAGACTTTTCAGATGGAGGCAAATGATAAATGCAAATGCATGTGAGTTTTCGGTACATTTGATCCCCCAACCCCGGAGGCTCAGAATATGCACCTCCAACTCTCCACACCCCGCCTAGCCGGGCGGTGGGGACGGAAAAAGGAGAGATAGGGATGGCGTCAGCTTCGCCACTGGAGTGGCTGTCGAGATGGTCCTGCACGCACCCGAAGGCCGACGAGTTAACAGACCGTGATTACTCACGGCGCGACTTCAAAGAGTTCTTAATGTTACATCTTGTTGCACATTAAGACCTTGATCACGGCTTTGCTGCTATTAGGTTACTTGCCAACTTATTAAGTGTGCCAGCGATAGTTTTTAGACAGAGTTGATCTTTTAAACTAACGCTATGTTTACTTTTTGAGGCGCCTTCAATAAGTAATTACATCGAATAGAAGACATGCAGATTGGATGAAGAGTCAAGCCTAAATGATTCAAATTAATCCATCATTGAGTCTTAAATAAGAATTTTTGCCCTAGGAATGTACTTACTTTTCTTACGCCTTTTATGAGACGACTGCCACTTTTAACATGCTTGCTACGCGGATCTACTGCAAATGGTAATCACTCTCATGTAGTCCAAATATTTTAGCTCTAAAATTATATCATATGTAGCTAATTCTCTTTTTCATTCAGGTGCTACTAAAAACCTTTAAAACAAATGTAATGACCTTCAGTCTAAGAACATCTAACTCGTTTGAAGCATGAGTTGATGAAACCACAGCTACCATGATCTTATAAAAAACATGTCACTTATTT